CAGATGTTCATCAAGTTGTCGAGATAGTGTCCCTTGAATCCGGCCTTTTGGTTGTCGGGTCCTGCAAGATCCAGGCGACCTCCTTCGCAGCCTACAAGACGTGGCAGAGAATACTCGATCAGGTTACGAGTCGAGTAACCAACCCTTACATTCTGACCTTCTCGGAGGAACGATGCCGTCTCAGCGAAAGAAGCAAAGGAGAAGGGAGACCAGGTCTCTGCTCTCTCAAACAAGTCAGGGTGGTTACAGACTTTCCTAAATTGCATGACCAAGTTCATCAAAGTGGCGCTGTCCTGCTCGTCTCCAACTGCCTTTTCGACCAAGTCCATAATGTTGATCTTGGCGCGTAGATTGGCGTAGTAGGCACGCTGGCGATATGTCAGGTCGCAGTAAACATCAAGTTCAATCTTGTCTCCAAGCTCTTTCTGCACATGCTTCTTGACACGACGCAACATGAACGGCTTCAGGATCATGTGCAGACGTCTCAGCTGGTCCTCGTTGAGTTTGGTATTACTCTGTGCGTGACTCTCAATATCCTTGGAGAACCACTCGCTGAACTCGTCGTGAGAATCGAACAAACTTGGCATAATGAAATGGAGAAGTGCCCAAAGTTCTTGCATGTTGTTCTGGATAGGGGTACCTGTCAGTAGCAGTCGGTTACGTGAGTGGAATCCGAGCAAGCTCTTCCATCTGGAACTCTGCGATGACTTGATAGCCTGGGCTTCGTCGAGAATCATGTACTGCCAGCGCATCTTCTGGAAATACTGAGCATCCTGAACAACCAATTGGTATGAGGAGACGACAACGTGGAAAGGCGAGTCGCGGGTGTAGGTAACGTGCTTGCGGTCCCAAAGCTTTCGCAGAATCTTTCGGTCTTTGGCCGTACCCCAGTATGGAATGACGTTGAGATCAGGAACAAACTTTGCGATTTCCTGCTGCCAGTTATGCAACGTTGATGCAGGAGCGATGACAAGGAAAGGTCCCCAGATGTTGTACCTCTCTGCAAGGTACGCCATGACGGATATCGACTGGACCGTCTTTCCGAGACCCATTTCGTCAGCCAGAATACCGTTGATACCTTGCTCGTACAGGTTAACTAGCCAGTTCAGACCCTTGAGTTGGTATTCCTTGAGGGTACAGCTGAGTAGATTTGGCTGAGGAATCCAGTCTTCCTTGTTTTGGAGACCGGATGGATTTTGGAAGTTCAGCTCTCCATCCTCCTCGTCGTCGCCAGACTTGTTGAAAGCACGGGCACGATCCTGTGCCTCTTGGATAGCGTGTTGAGCGTTTGCCATTGCAGCAGCATTGAGAGCGCTCTCGTCCTCATTATCGAAATCCAGATCCTCAAAGTTGGTGACTTTGGCAGCTGCCCCTGTTGGCATGTCTCCAACCTCGATACCAGGCTGAGCTGGTTGCTGTGGTGCTGCCGCGGCGGTATCGGCGTCGTCAGTAGACCTCTCAATCTCGTCAGTCCTGGCCTTCTTTCCGATGAAATGCGAGTAGAGTTCTGTCTGTGAGATAAGAAAGTTGAGCTTCCGCTTCTGTCGGTTGGCTTCACGGTCGGCTTCGGCCTTCTTTGCGTTCTCTAGCTCTTGACGCTCTGCATTCTTTCGCGATTCGCGCTCGTCACGCTCGTTCCTCTTCCAGAACGCAAGCATCTCGCGCATGCCTCGCTTCGCCCTAGCCTGCGTATCCTTCTGGTTTTTGTTGGTGCGCATCTGCCATCTGCGTGCTTCTTTGGCGGCCAACTGGGCAGTCTTGCGAAGATTGGACTGTTTTGTAGACAGTGAGTTCTCCTTGATGCGGACGACCTTGGGAACATCCTTGCGGGCCAAGTCCTTGACGATCTGGTGGTACAGATTGCGATACACGGGCGAGTCGTAGGAAGTGAGCACGACGGGGCCGATGTCTTCGGTGTAGCTGCGGCCCCGTATCGAATCAAGCCGGGCTTCCTCGCGCGGAGCAATCATGGGCAAATCATCGCCACGGTCAAGAGCAGCTTGGCCTGCCGCTGCGGCATCCTTCTCTGCCTGCTTTTGCTCCTTGCTCTTCTTGAGACGGCCATTGCCACGGTTGCCCTTGCGCTTTCCGCTCGGGGCGTCGTCAGAGGCCTGGAACGAACTCATCGTGCCTCCCTCCATGTTGGGGCCATGTGGGGTAACCTCGCGGATGTCCTTGCTAGGAGCATTGCCTTGCAGCAGCTGAGTGGTAGTCTTGGCCTTGCGTTCAGCTTTTTGGGCAGCTAGCAGGTGTCGTTCCTTCTCCTCCTCATTTTCGGCCTGGCCAGCCTTTGCGAGAGCTTCAGCACGCTTAGCCTCTTCGTTCTGGATAGTCTTTTCTCGTCTTCGTTTGCGTTGCATGTCCTTTTTGCGCTCCTTCTCTTCGGCAATCTCCTGGCTCTGCACCTGCTGCCATGCATCGCCCTCGTGCTCGACGTTGTAAGAATGCTTGGCGTAGTCGCGGTGTGCAGCGGACACATCCTGGAAACGGATCAAGGTTGCTGTGCGCCTTCGCTTGCGCTTGCTCGCCTCTGTAGCGGAAACCTCTAGGATACGCTTTTGGCTCCGTTGCCTGTATTCTGCCTCTTCGCGCGAATTGATCAGAATGTCCATGTCTCCCATCTGCGTGGTCTCGATGTGTGCAAGCTGAGCCTCAACATCGGCTTCGTCAGGAGGTGGCAGTTCGCGAGTCGCAGATTGCAGTGCAGCAGGCTGCACGCTCCCAGGTACAGCGATGGCATCATGCGTCGGCCGTGGGGTATAGCCGTTCTCATGTAGAGGCAGGTCAGCTGGCGCCGGGGATGCCACGGCCTCTTGCTTGACAAAGTGCTGGTTGGGCAGGGGCTTCGATGGTCGGAATGGGTCGGCGTTGACGGGAGCAGGTGGCTGAGGTTTGGACGGGGGCTCGTTGTCGGCGCCAGAAGACATTATGCTTGAGAGCGACATGGGGTCGGCGCGTGTTGGTGGTGGAGCCTGTTGATGGGGGAGATGGCGATGAGCAAGCGTTGTCGAGCGGAGAGGAGAGGTGGGTGGACTTACCTCATCCTTGAAGGACGGCCGTCTATCGTAGGTCGGCGGCTGGACGGCACCGCCCGGCCGGTTCATGGATTGATAAACTGATGGCGAGACGGGAGAGTGTGACATTGTCTCCATGCCGCCGGTGTGCTGGTGCTGCGAATGGGGCCGCCGCAAGGGCGAGTGCTGGGGATATGAAGCGGCGACAGGCGAGTGGTAGACCTTTTCGTAGGGGCTGTGGGCGGGTCGAGGGTCGTGGTAGGCGTGAGGGTCCCGGGGCTGCTGTGCGGTCACTGTTAGGCGTGTATCCCTGAAGGGGGGAGATGAAGCAAAGGCAGGCAGGTGGTAAGAGAGAGGCAAAGAGAGAGAGAGGGAGCAAGCTGGGGTGAATTGACGCGATGCAGAGTGATGGAGATACGCACCTGTGCAGGATACTGGGGGTCGTAACGCGCCGGGTCTCTGGCTACGCGGTTGTCGCCATTGTCCGAGGTCGGGTCGTAATATCTAGACGTGTCGCGAGAATAGAGGGCCGTGCTGATGGGCGGCAGCTCGGTCGAGGATGGTGATGCAGGCTGGCGGTGGTGTTGATGGGGCTGCAGAGGCAAGGGCGCAGGCGTGTTTGGCGAGTGGTGGTGGTATGGTTGGCCTGCTTGTGTGGGCGATCTGTGGTAAGCTGATGGCGTAGGTTCCCCTTGGTGCCCTGGCGGCATTCTGTCTGCTCGCGACCGCTCCTCGCCCTCATCAACCGACGGCCGCAAGACGGGATCGCGAAACATGGGACTGGGCGCGTGCAGGCTCTCTCAATGGGACCACGAAGGCTGCTCCATGGACCAGCAGCAGCGGGCTCTGGCGGTGGGGCGCGCCGGAAGCAAGGCGGCGACAGCAGGGTGAATGCGCCTCAGGCTTTGCAGTTGGCGATGGTCGGCCGGCGACTGGTGATGGATGGCTTTGGATGCGAAGGGCAGCGGACGGGAGCGATGGGAGAGGGACGATGGGGGGCTGGTGTGGAGCAGCGCTGTCCAGATCACACACACACGCACGAAGGGTTGGCAAGTCAGCTTCTGTCTAGTGCGGCTGCGGCAGCTCTGTCCCTGGGGCAGCTCCGGGCGTGATGCAGACCCGCGATGAGGTTTGATGGCAGCGGCCACGACTCGCTGCACATGACGCCGCTTGTCCGACGGGGCGCTGCACACAATGAGAGCCGCCCTTGTGAATCCAGCGAGGCTCGTGGCGACGTCCAGCCCGGCCTGTGTCTGCTGGCGGGGGGAGCGCTGCCTCTTTGCTGCCCACCTGAGCCCGCGTCTCTCGTCGAAGCATACACACGCCCCAGATGGTGCATCGACCAATAACTTGCAGGCACACGAGCGGCGCCGTCCAGCATGCAGCCCGGCCTGCGCGGCTGTCAGGCGCACTGTGCGTGTCCGCATTCCCATCTTGCTGGTGCTGGTGCTGTCCGCGTAGCCAGCGATCCGGCGTCATGCCCGTTGCCCTCTGCAGCGACGTGCTCCTCGTCTTTGCCTCCGCCCGCCGCGTTGAGGCGTTGCCAACTTCGGCAAATCAACCACCGACCAACGCCTGACTACTTACTACCATTTACATACAACATTACACGCACTACCATCACCGCCTACTACATGCCCTGCTCCTGCACACTCTACTTGCTCTCCCTCTCTCCCTCTGCATTGGCCCATTTTTCTTCCTGATATGCCTCGCCGTCCCGCTACAGCTGGTCTACGGCGCGCGACAAAGCGCCATGAGCCCAGACGCACTCTAAACGGGGCAGGAGCGTTGGGACCTGCACTCCCTCATTGGGCGAGCCCTGCCAGCGATGGTGACGGAAGGCGCGACCCATGTCGGTGGGTCGTAGCGTGGCCAAAGCGTAGATCACGCTAAAACTCTGGGCGCTATCCATTCTCCAACTTTTTTCTAGAGCCGCCTTCACCCCGTGAGCAGCGCAAACAGCACCATCAACACTCGTGCACAACAATGGCCTCGGTATACAAGACACTGTCCGGCGCGGACAAGGAGGAGAAGGATGTCGGAGTCAAGAGAAACAAGCAGCGCGTCCTCATTCTGGTATAGCATTTGTCTACACAAAAAGAGAAAAAAAAATCTCTTGCTAACAAAAAACAGAGTTCAAGAGGTGTAACATTCCGGCACCGCCATTTACTCCAGGATTTGTACTCTTTAATGTGAGTTGGACTCCAATCCTGCTTCAGAAACTTCATGCTGATCCTGCAAAGGCCCCATAGCCGAAAAGAGGCCAAGCTTGATACCAAAACGAAGCTCTACCAGCTCAATGAACTAGCAGGTACGAATTTCTCCCCAAATACCAGTCTTTTCGCGATGAGAAATCTCGCAGACTGCATTTCTAATATTCTCCGTCCCATCTTGACGTGAACTAACCCAGTCAGAACTCTACAACTGCAACAATGTCCTCTTCTTCGAGGCGCGCAAAGGAAAGGATCTTTACTGCTGGATGTCCAAGCCTCCCAATGGCCCCACCGTCAAGATGCATCTCCAAAACTTGCATACCATGGAAGAGCTCAACTTCATTGGCAACTGCCTCAAGGGATCCCGGCCAATTCTTTCTTTTGACGCCGCGTTCGACAAGCAGGCCCATTTGCGTGTCATCAAGGAACTCTTTACCCAAATTTTCGGTGTTCCCAAGACCAGCAGGAAAGTAAAGCCTTTTGTTGACCACGTCATGGGTTTCACCGTCACAGACGGCAAGATCTGGGTCCGCGTTTTCCAGATTAATGAGAGCGAGCCAGGCAAGAAGAAGAATGCAGACGGTGAAGAGATGGAAGTCGATGAGCCTGCGCCCAAGAAGAAGGGAGGAAAGGGAGAACTCGATGTCAGCCTTGTGGAGATTGGCCCACGCTTCGTGCTCACACCCATTGTCATCCAGGAATCGAGTTTTGGAGGCCCCATCATCTACGAGAACAAGGAGTTCGTGTCGCCCAACCAGATCCGCTCCGACTTGAGGAAGTCCAAGGCCGGCAGGTTCAACAAGCGGACAGAGGCGCAGAGGGATGCTCTGCTCAAGCACCAGGAGCTGGGACTGACATCGCACGGTGGTCGCAAAAAAGAGAAGGATCCGCTCAGCGACAATGTTCTATTCGCATAAGCCGTTTGCAACATTTTTGGAGGGCAAAAAAAAAGTGGCGTTTATGGGATGCATCTTACATGGGGCTGGCGTCGATTTGTTGGGCTTGGCATATGCCTGCATGTATAGCGATATACCCAATAGCTATCAACTCGTGGGTAGCTCGTCTTGAGCGACCGCTATACACGTCTTTTTTGCGTTCGTATATTAATCTCCGGATCTATTGCACTCAACTACACTGACTGCAGTCTTTCCTTTGTCATGCTTTTTTCTAGTTCCTCCTTGTATTCGTCATTGACACCACTGACCACAGCCATACGAACCCCGTGCAGCGCTCTGAACGGATTTAGTACCAATTGCGTTTGGGAAATGTTGCTCTCATCTTGGACCCGATGCACCCTGCCGCTTGGAAACTTGACACGACTGATGGCACCATCGATCAAGTGCACCTGCAGCCGGTGCAGCTGCGGAACAGCAACCAGCAGATCCACAAGCTCCCGTACTTTGCTATGTATACCAGCCGACAATCCGCGCCCACCATAATTGTACTTAATCATGCCCGTATAGTCATCGACCGACTCGACATTCACAATGTAGTTCCTGATGCGCAGGAGGTTCCGCTGCGAGAAATGATCTAGGAATTGATATGTTTGGTTCGGCGTCAGGTTATTCGCAGTCCGCCAGCGGTACCGAAAGTTGATTGCACTAAAAGTCACATCTATCACGAACGTATTTTCGCCATAGAGCATGTCTGCTGCCTCTTCGTGCACCTGTCGCGACACGGCTAGCAGGGCAGTGCATCCGCGCCGCCAGACAATGTCGTTGCCCGTTTCACGGTCCGTCCGCGGCAGTGTCCGTTGCATGCGCCAGCACCCATCGCCATTCTGCCGGACGAACGTCAGATTGTACTCGGACTTTGGGGGTGGGTCAATGGAGCGCTGCAAACGCACATCGAAGGTTGTCGTGTGGGGGAGGACGAGACTGTATATCGTGCGTCGGAGCTCGATTGGGAGGCGGAACAGAGCTGGTGAGTATAGAGACGCAGTATTCCCGTGGTACATTGTTTCTTCCGGTACTGCCAGACTCCAGACTTACAGACGTGGACGACGACGCGGTTTGCGATTCGGAGAGCGACATACTTACCTCGCGGACGTTGACGCCATCGGCTTATCCTCCGCCCCTCGACGCCGATTGGTCCCCACAATCCAGATTGGCTCCACTTGGCGCCATCTATCAACTTTATGGCTACGTCGTGACGATGACTCCTGATTATCCTTTCAACCACCAACAATGTCAATGGCCTTTGGAAACGGCTCGTCGGAGTCTGCCATTGTTTGCACCATGTCTTCACAAAATTTCAACACGTTTTCTATCTATAGCCCCAAAGGAGGGGTCCTATCTATCTGAACTACGAGTCACGCGTCGGTGTAGAAGCAACATAGCTACGCGCCGATTGATCGATACATTACACAGCACACTTGCGGCTGGAATATAGTAAAGAGAAGAAGAGGCTGGATATCTAGATCGATCTCTTAGAAAGAGATACGGGTCAGTACCAAAGAAGGGATAGATATATATCAGCGTGACAATTGACGAGTGAGTAATATGCATGCAACTGGAGATCTATAATATGGGCCGTGTAGTTTTCGATGCTAACTTTTGAAGTCACGAGAAAAACAAAAAATTACCGGACGCTGAGCATCCACCACCAAAATGTTATTCGAAGACCTCGCCACAGAGCTCGTGGTGCAGGTGTTTTTATCCTGCACCTCAGTCACCGACGTAACAGCCCTATCTTCTACCTGTAAACGTTTCCGTAACATGTATTCGTCCTCGCAAAAACTTGCCATCCTTGAATCCGCCGCCGAAGCGCAATTCGGGCCCCTCCACGACCTCACCCAGCTCCTCACCCACAACGCCAGCCAACCAGCCCACATATTCCGCTCGGTCCCCTTCTCGCTCGCCCTCCTCACCCAAATCGTAACGTACGGCCGTGTCGCAGAAAAATGGTGCGAAATCTACCCCTTCAAAAAATGGAAACACAACTTCGAAAGCCGCCGCCTCTTAACACCGCAAGAACGATATAACCTAAGAAGAGCAATCTACCGCATCTGGCTCTACTCCCGCGCCTTCCACAACCCTGCCCACCCCCGCGAACTCCGTGCCACGCGCCTCGTCCTCCTCAAGCGCGCCGCCCTCCTGCACAACTGGTCCACGTACGACCTCGCCGAGATAACCGACATCCACAACGTCATGCGCGAAGTGGTACAATCAAACATATGCCCCTCCAACGGCACCATTGCTCGCAAATTCAAAAAGCGGCACCCGGGAAATGAACACGGCCTTCTCTTCAATATCCACCTTAATTACCCACCCTCTGCCCCTCAAGCTTTTAACCCCTTCGCTTCGAATCCCCTCTCCACTCACTTCAACAACACGAATACGTACACGTCTCGCTTCGCAGCATCAAAGTACTCGTTGAGCCCCTCGCACGAGGTCGGCGCTGAGGGCTGGGGCGACGATATCCCCCATTACTACGTTGTAGAGGATTACCTTAAACTTGATCCGGCACAGATTTTGTATCTGAAAGAGAATGCGCCGCTCAAGGGCATGGTTGAGGGCTACGTGCGCGGTTTGTGGAATGAGTATGATTGGTTTTCAAATAATGGTGAGACGTGGGTGCAGACGCTGGAGTTTGTGCTGGATGAACGTGGGGAGGATGTCGGGGAGTTTATGGATGCGATTGCTGAGGGGGAGTTGGGGGTTGCTTGTTGCTGAGGTGGTGTAGATGGAGATATGTTGTATGTGTGGGTGAAGTATTTGTTGATATAGATATATATATATATATATATATTGCAATGCACACTTGAATACCATATCTTTTCTTCCTTCATCCATGACCCTACATCTTGCCAAAAAATGAAAAATCTCCCTACAAAAAAACAAGGAAAATCAATATCCCGAATCCTTATTCCCCCCGACCTTTATCCTCCTCCACTTGCCTCCTCTTCACCCCTCAGCACAGGCACCAGCTTATCTTCGTAACCCGACACAACCCACGTATTCTCATCAACCGTAGTATGCACCAAGCCCGTCTCAGCAAGTCGAGCTAGATACTTGCGCACCAAGTCGACATCAAGGCGCAGTGTAGCCGCGATATCAGTGATGTTCTGTCCGATATACGACGTAGGTCGTGAATGGAGATCTTCGGTAAGATACTCGAGGATACGAGTAGAAAAGTAGTCGTCATCGTCTATGGCGTCTTCATTGCCTATGTAGTCTCCATAGTCTCCATAGGTATCATCGTACACGTAGTCTTCGTCGTCTTGATCATCTTGGTTCGAAAGAGTCGCGTCAGGCATAGTTTCGGCCGAGGGTATATAATATCCATGTGCATCTTGTTCACGAGCTTGGCGAGCTGCTTGCTCTAGGGCAGCTGCGAGGGTTGCTGCATCAGTGTCGTTTTTGCATTTGAAGAATAGCATGAAGGATCTATCTGGGGGTGTATCGCGTTTGCGGATGTCATTTACAATCACCTCGCTTTGATCATGGCGTAAGTCAGTAGCGGGTATCAGGTCGAATGAGTATTCGTATGTGCTTTTTTGAGAATCCATGTCGAGATCATTGGTCTTGCGACTGGGCTTGCGTTTGTTATTGCGGTTGGTCTTGCGGTCAATGTGAACCGAGCTTCCGGATACAAGGACCACGCAAGAGTTGTGGATGAGTCGTGGTTTACTTGTTGTGAATTCTGTGAAAGTCACCTTGACTTCCGCTACTACAGTGGCCTCACCGAGAGGCGCGTGTCGAGACTTTTCCTTCGAGGCAATGGATTGAGAATCGTCTTTGGTGACAGTCGAACCAGATGATGGATTCCGAGCCAGCCCCAGAGACTGAGTTCCCGACCGTTTCGAGCCAGTCTCCTCGACTGGTGGAAAATAAGTCGGCAAAATGTTCTCGTAGATAGCCTCGTCGATGGCCGAGTATACTACAAATATTATTTTTTCCAGTCCACCCGGCTCTTTAGACTGAAGAAAACGCCTGACTTCTTCCATGGCAAGTGAAGCGCAATCACGGCGCGGAAAGCCCAATGCACCCGTCCCAATACAGGGTATTGCAACGGATTTGGCTTTTAGATATGTAGCGGCATGCAGGATTCCGCGGTAGATGTTGCGTAGCACATTTTTGCTGTCTTTTCTGTACACCTCAGGTGGGATGACATGTAAAATGTTCTTGGCTGGTAAGAGGTATCCTGAAGTCGTTTTGACATCGCCCTCTTTACACACACCGAATTGCTGAACTTCTTCTTGCAATTCCGGTCCGCCCTTTTTGAAGATAAGGCGATCCAGAGTTCCCATGCCTAAAAAGGATATGTCAGTAGAGTTGACTATAACATCGACCTCGAGCTTTGTCATGTCTTCTCTTGCCAAACACACTATATTGTTGAAGTCGGCAGAAGGTTGTGCCATAGTCTTCTTTGGATGGATGGTAGCAAGCTGATATAGTTTCGTTACAGATGAAATTTGGTGCAGTTTAACCGAGTCTCGGTTACTAGAGGCAGTTGGCGTAGAGGGCTCGACAGACTCCAGGTTTTCCGGCTGATTGGGAGCATCTCCAGTATCCTGTATACGCGCTTTGGCCCTATATCCTTCTAGTTTTGGGCGCATTCGTACTAGATCCAGATCATTCTGTTCCTGTGCCATGACACTATCCAGAATGGTAGTGAAGGAGCAACAGTCTAGTAGAAACTCCTTGAGGTTGGATCCGTACTTCCCATTCATACCCCAATCGGTAATTTTCAGGATCTCCTGATAATTTGACACGGTATCTTGAACCTCTTTCGCTGTTTCAGTCATTCCTAAGATGCTGCTACATAAAGTGAAGAGAACAGAGCAGATCAGAGCGATGTCTGTCGAATGTTTCTTCAGCGTTCTGGGTCCCAATAACTCATTGTGAATCGAAGTCAGCGTGATATCAGTCTCATCGAGAAGATCAAGGTATCCGATTTCGATCTCTGGTAGGATCTGGCTGAAATCACGACGGAGCGCAGCAGTCGACTTTCGTAGTTGCGCCTGTGTGTTTATCACCTGAGCAACCATTACCGCGTTATCTGTAGACTGGTCCGAACTTCCTGCCACAACTGAATTCCTTGCCACGTCTAGATCCCCATGTGTTGGTGGGAAATATACAGGGAAGAAATCCTTGTAAGCTTGCTCATCCACAGCGGATTTTGCACAAAAGATGATGCGTTCAAAGATGATGCGTTCAAACCGGCTTTCAGAGCGCGCATCCAAATCCTCGCGAACTGCTTGAAGTGCTATACGTGCAGCTTGACGTGGACCAAAGCCACAGCCTCTTGTGCCCAAGCAAGGAAAAGCCACGGTTCGGATTTGGAGGTCAGCCGCTGCCTTCAAGGAATTGCGATAGCAATCGGCAAGATTACTCAACTGGGCCATGCCGTCCCCTCCGAAAGACGTCGGTACTGCAGCATGAAGAACCCACACCGAAGGGAGGTTGTGTCCGTGGGTTACTTCGACTTGGCCGAACTTGATTTGGGGTTTCGATCTTGCCTCTTGTACAAGATTTGGACCACCTGCCTCCATTATAGCGTAGTGCAACGAGCCCCGGGGTGGTGAGTATTTCAGGTCGACAGTGACGTTGTTGACAATGGCGTCTACCTCCATCCTTGTCAGATCATAGTTACAGAAAGAAATCATGCGATTGTAAGAATCGTCTGGTGAGTAGCTTTGGTCTAATTGTAACAGTTGTCGTGAACGGTATAATGACCTTAGTGTGGGAATGTCCTTCGTCTGAAGGACTGGCAGTTTTTCTGACCCATGAGCGACGGCTAGATGATATGAGCTTTTCGGGTTATTCATTTGATTTGATATCACGTCCAGTATATTTTTATTCGCATCAGGGAGTTGTTGTAGGTTTTCGGCAGATAGAAGATCGTGGCTGGGATCAACCTCATGAACAGACTCAGACGGGTCAAAGTGTAGGGTAGCTGTTTAACATGTCAGCTGGTGCCGTACATAGATTTCACGCTCTTGTATGCGGATGAACTTACTAGGAGCGTTTTCTTTGCTCTTTTCTTTCCCTTTACTCATATTGGCGGATATAGAACTCCAAAGAGACTTAGAGGTAGTACTGCCGGGGCTCGGGATCCCACTGGCACCATCCGAGTCGTCTTCCATACTATGAGGCAGAGCAAAGGTTGCGATTCGCTCCAGATGATTCGCGATGTGGCTTTGCAAGTCGCCTATCTCTTTGGCATCCGTCGGTGCGCGGCATATGGGGCATCTTTCTCGCAAGTCTACTGTAGTAGCCTCGCCAACCTTGGCAATGGTCACCAGCTGGCTCTCTGGAAAGCTATCGAGATGCGTTTGCCGAAGGTGATCTTCCAAGCCCAGCTGAGAATGGAAAACTGCATTCGGATGCTCCGGACATCTCCACACCTTGCGGTGGCTTGCTTCGTGCTCGGCCCACTCTCTACGACTGCGAAACAGTTGATGCGAGCTTTCACAGTCCTGGTATGTACAGATATACGGTTGTAAGTCTTGAAGCAGATGTGTCCTCCAGGCTTTCCCTTTTCCGTATCTTGCAGGGCAAACGATCCAACAATAGGGACATTCGAATTCTTTATCACCATCAGCTGATTTTGGTGGCGGAGGAAGATCGATGCCTTTTCCATGTACATCTTTCACCGTTATAGCGTAGCTTGTGACGGATTTGTTGTCTACTATATCATCCAAGGATTGGTGAAGCTGCGTTACTTCTGTCCCTGAGAGCATTGTCTTACCGGTCTTCTGACTTGGCGCTTCTTTCAGGACTGCAACTATGGGTACCGGATGTGATTTTGGGCTTTCATCAGATGCTGTCGCAGGTCTTTCGAATGGTGTTGTGACATTGAGCCCCTGTACATCTTCGGAAATTGTAGAGGCACTTAATTTGTCCCGATCTGAGCAACTAGTTAGCTGCATGTGACTGTCATATTCTCAAAGACTTACGTCGTTTCCAGTACTTGAATTGTCGCCTCCGAAGGGTGACAGATGCGCTCAACCGCTTGATCAAAAAGTCTTGATCTTCCTGCGTCTCATTGGCTACGTAGGATTGACGCAGATGCGACACCAACTCCTGGACATGCTTGAGGTCTTGCGCAGCGTACATGTCAAAGATGTCGATTCCCGTCTCTGGATCCTTTTGTGTGTAAGAGGATGCTTTGAGAGATCTTGAGCGTAGACCAGGAGTTCTGATGCGGACGCTAAGCTTGTAGAGGTTGTCGATAATGTCGACGATTTCCCCAAAGCGCATTTTCAATTCGGTTCTAGGTTCATCGCTGCTGCTATCATCATCGTCTTCTTCCGCACTGAAGAAACCGTCATCATCGTCATCTTCAATCATGTCTGGGCGGGCCTGCTCTTCGTAAGGCAGGCGAGCCTCAGATGCCACGGCATAAGCTTCATTGACGTTGGTTTCAAGCTCCCTAAGAAGCTTTAGCGTGTTGGTATTGGATACTGGTGAGTCTCGTAGCCTGTAGTCAAGCGAGCTGTGCCCTTTCTGCAGAGCACCGAGGTTTCCAGCCCAAACACGGAACCTCCCGATTTCGTCTTCAAGTGCCTCTTCGTCGATTGCATGTGTCCATTTCCGGTCGCTGGTTTTGAGTGCAGTGGTCAGATTTTGGAAAGCGCGAACATTGGAGGCTGTTGCTAGTCTTAGAGAGGACATGACAAACAATTGGCATGTTGGGGAAAGAGCAAGCGGGGACGGAGAGAACTGGG